CCCCCAAATTCGACATTCCGAGTCCTTTTCGCGATCCCCCCCGACGTTCCAAATATCAAGACCGTACGTCGAGCGGTTAAGATTTGTGCCCAACGGACGGACGGACGCACGGACGGACGGACGGACGGACGGGACAATCATGCGATTCTACAAGCTGCATCTGACTTTGTCAGCTGAACTAAAAACGCGTGCGCGCACACACACACACACACGCACGCACGCAAGCACTCACGCACGCACGCACGCACGCACACAGACGCACGCACGCACGCACGCACGCACATAGACGCACGCACGCACGCACGCACACAGACGCACGCACGCACACACGGACGCACACACACACACACTCGCGCGCGCGCCCATGCATGCACACACGGGATGAAGGATGCGCATCGAGGGAGGCAGCAGCAATGTTGCCGACGGCTGATCAATCACGACTAATCAAGTATAGCGACTAACGATCTCTCCATGCTAATATATATATATATATATATAACGCAGGATGCGCGCTCGCACGCACGTACGCACGCACGCACGCACACACGCACGCATACACGGTAACACACGCACGCACACACACACATACGCGCGCGTATACATGCACGAATGTCGGTTTCTTGCACGCACGTGCACAAGTAAGCACACACGATGATTACACGCACGCACGCACATGCACGCACGCACGCGCACGGACGCACGCTCATTCCACCGCTCCGCTCCCGAATAAGGAAGCACTCGCACGAGGTGAAACCTTTACACGTAGCAATGCCACGACATTGCCGCTGCATGAATACCCGCTGATTCCGCTGCTACTGGATACATCTACTAACGCTAAAGACTACTCCTACTGAGGGCGACATCGAGAAAGACGTCGTTTGCTCGAGTATAGCACGGAAGGCATGAAATCGGCGCTAAAGTACGCGGTTTATTAGAGTACCTTTTTTTTCTCTTTGAACAGTATAGACATAAAATGAAGTGAAAGCGGGCAGCTGCTTGCGACGTCGTAGCTCTGCGAGTGAGTAAGTGAGTGTATCTATCTATCTCTCTCNCGCACGCACGCATGTAAAACATGTCGCTCACCGGTCTCGCAGAACTCTCCCTCGTAGTCGACGAAACTGCAGCTGCAGATGGCGCCAGTGTCGGTGCTGATGCACAACCCTCCGTGCTGACACAGGTTCTCCACCTCACATTTGTCCACCTCGTTATACCGCAGCCCGACGCTGTCAATCATGCGCGGCCGCACCGTCGTGCCCTCCCCTCCGGCCGTGACGTACACCACGTTGCGCACGTGACCGCGGTAGTGCGGTTCGAAGACGACAGAGGGCAGTGCGAGCGACGAGAGCCGCTGGTGGTAGAAGCGCGGCAGGCCGCCGAAAAACACGTCGCTGTTCGTCGTCGCGTTGCCGAACGCGCCGTCGTCGACCGCGGCGACCACGGCCGACCGCGGCGGCGCGTCGTCGACGACGAGCGACGTCAGCGCCCCCCGGCGGCGAACCTCGACGAGGTGCCACGCAAAGTCGTTCAGGTCGGAGCCGGCGCGCAGCGCGATCGCACCGCCGCCTAGGTTCATGCGCAGCCGCGCGGCTCCCCCTAGCAGCTTCAGCTCGAAGAAGTCCGTCTGGCCGCCGTCGTCGGTGTACATGAGCAGGCCGTCCGATTGGTCGGTGCGGAACTCGAACGTGAGCGAGGCGTCAGCGTCTGCGGCAGAGGGCCAGCGCGGGAAGCGAGCGTAGGAGCTGGGGGAGCCCTCGAGCACGAAGCCTCGCGCGAGAGCGCACGCCGTCGCCATGACGACGACGACGACGACGACGAGGGGAGGGCAAGGCGACGATGACGACGATGTGAGGGTCATGGTGAGGTCGCGTGATGACGTCACGTTATGAGGTCACACGATGAGGTCTCGTGATGGGTTCCTTCAGCAGTAGCAGTAGCAGCGGCGGCAGCGGCAGTGGCAGCGGCGGCAGTGGTGGGAGCGATGTCGTCTTTGGCGCGGTTTTCACACGCTTCCTTTTCCTTTTCACACGCTTCCTTTTTACAGGCTTTCTTTTCACAGGCTTCCTTCAGACGCCTTCTCTAACACGCTTCCTCTCGTGCCTCGCTCGAGCTGCTCTTAATCACGTGAAGTCACCGATCCAGCGTCGACCCTGCAGCAGGAGGGATGTAAGATGGAGCAAGCCAGCAACGTGTGAGAATAATATATATATATATACATATTTTCACAACACTACACTAGCGGGTTCACAGAATACACAGGTGGGGAAGACTGACAGACATTGTTCGATAGTATGCAATCAACAAACTCACTACGAATCAATTGACACGTAAATGCAGATGCAGCGACACCTTCTTATCGCCTAAACGTCTAGCTGATGCTGAATTAACACTTAAATACCTACATAATTGTCTAGTAGCCATTCGTATAACTGGTAAATACCTACAGCCGTACCTTCGTAACACCTAAACGCAGACCTAATGCTAAATTAACACCTAAATACCTACATAATTGTCTAGTAGCCATGTGTATAACTGGTGTGTGGGGGGGTCTGTACTACTCGCTAGTAGTACCTTCAGTTGGTCAATGCCAATGTGAACGACGACAACAACGGGCCCTTTACGCGGAACAACAGCGCGTATGAATAGGCGTTGTACAGTGTAAGATTTCGTCAATGTTTACTCGCGCTTGGCTCTCCATTCGTGCATAAATGTTAAAGGAAAATGAGTAGCAGCTCTGAACATTTTCCCACGTATATATGCTGTCATGCAGGCATTACACCGTGTATGGCTCGGGGGGGGGGGGGCTGCGTGCATGCTATATTGAATGGGCTGCTTGGTTTCCATAGTAATGAATGTCAACAGTAATAAGCTTCGGTAATGGTTTTCATTCGACGAAGAGAATGATTGGCCTTCGCCTTGAAATTCAAAAGATTTATAATTGGTTGGGGAGGAATTCTCTGTTGTATATACCCAGGAGAGAACGAGAGGAGCTTTATAATGATAGCTCCTTAATGATCATGATTTCAATCCCCATTGTACGATGAGAAACATCAAACTTTCATGATCATGCTCGCACGTTTGATATCGAATTATATCTGAATGTTATCGGTCTTACAGATTAATGAGATCGTGTTTGAAAAATAATTACGTACGAGTGAAATCGGTTATTCTTGCTAATCAAAATCTTAAATTAGAACTTCATTCACATCAAAGTTCATAATGTAGACACACAAAAGTCCCTCATGATTAAACATTGCAAACATATAGGAATTTTTTCCGTCGGCTATATAATTGGCGATATTTGCCCGTAGCGTCAGCTTCAGCTTATGAAAGAAGCTCAATGAGGTTTTAATGCTGGCTGGGTTTGAAAGGCTGCATCGTAACACGCTGTACCCATTAGAAAGCTCACGTGCGTGCGGTTCCATACAAAGCTAAGTAGCATTCTTAACCAGAAGCTCCTTATCAGAAACAAAATCTTAAGGTCTTAGCGTAAACTTTTTTTTTCTCCTAGATCGTTGGTAGAAACATCGTTACACTAGTTACTCATACGCAGAGTATAGATGTGTCGCGGTCTACGAGAAATAAATTAATGGTAAGACTAATATTGAATGTTAAGAATTAATGTTATGACTAATAATTCTGTGTCTGACACACGGGCCACAGTAGAGGTTTCCCATTATTACTCTTCACGACAAATAGTCAGGTATTTTTTCACCTTGCATCTCACGCGCATCATTCTCTGTTCTATGATTGATCAATTTTCTATGTGACTACCTCAACAAACATGTACACAACACCTGCCCTCAACACGTATACGTGTGTGTGTGGGCTTCATCAATGCCTTTACAGATTCATGTGTGATTGTAAAAAGCACGTTTACTTTGCAAGAAGACGTTTGTTGGAAGCGACGCTATGTTGATATGCGAAGGATTTCGTAATTTTAACTAATATGAAACACTATGTAGAAGCTATTATCGGATTATGCTGTGTGAAAATTGGCAGGCATATGACACTGTAACAACAATAAACATATCAACATCTAACTGATATCCACACATTCTCCCTCCACACTCCATCTCCCCCCTCCCCTCCACTCACTCACCCCTCTCC